AGGAATGCACTCTGAGGCACTAAAATATTTCCAGTTCTCCCTTTTCCTTCTTCTTCTGTCTCAGCAGCTGCCTGGAGCACCCAGCTGTGGGAGGAGGAATTAGAAAAACGAGACAATATACGAGAGTATAAACTGGATTAGTCTCACTCTGTAAATATGTTAACATTAGTAATTATAAACAAGAAAAAAACCTAGAACTGGCATCATCCTTTGAATCAATTGTCTTTGTGGATTACACTATTTTGTCAAATATTTTCTAAAAAGGTGTGGGGTTCACTATTAGTGTTTTATTGTCATATTTTAATTTCTTGGTCACTCTCTTTCCAAAATTTTGACACAGTTTTTTAAAATGGAGACATGGAAAGAATATTAATTACATTCTCTATTTGAAGCCGTCTTCAAACCTTTATAATGCCAACAGACTTGCTGCTCCTATAAAAAGAAATGTAATTGTGTATATCCTTCAGTTACCTTCCTTCTCACCTATCTTAATAGATGGTCTCAAAAAGCCTAATCTGTTTTGTCCGTTTTATTGCCTGTAATAGACACAATTAACAATTTAGGGGAATTTACAGTCACACAAGGGCATCACTGCGAAAGAACAGCAGTGGTAGTTGGGCTGTATAAATTCTGTTTGTGCCTGTGAAACATTTTTCTTTTTTTTTTCTTTTTTAAATCAGAGTGGAGACATGATGAGACTGGGGGACAGTATCATAAGAGCATGATAGGCAGGGTCATACTGCATTCCTGACTGACTGCTGAGGTGTTACAGTAACGGAGAGTTTTTATGCAAAGCATTGAAGTGGGTTTGTGGATGTCTGTGCAATATGTGGGGTTTATGGAAGAAGGCCCAATGGTGTGTGTTTGAATATTTAACTACCAGATGACAGAAACAGCTATAATTGATGCAGGTTTGAATTTAACTGTGCATGGTGTGGAGTAAACTCAGCCCCTTGTCAGTCCCAACTCATGAGTCTACCTTCATGCTGAGAACTCCTGAATTCCCAGCATTGCTCTGTAGTTTCTGACTTGGCAGCCCTGAGCACCATTGCAACTTTCTAATCACACTTCCTCCCGTCTTGTGAGACAACACAAGTCACTTTTCACTCTCATGAGCAATACTGGAGGAAGAAGAACGAGGACATTCAGCTGTACCCCCCACCAAGTACCAGGGCTGCATCCACCTTTGTAAGAGTCTAAATAAAGTTTGCTTTTCTACAGTCACTTGGGACCAATCCAGCATGAATACATAGGAGTGCACTGACGTCTCACAGGAACCAACATACTATCCAGTCTGTCTGTACTAGATATATAGGGAGCTACTAAATCTCCACATTTTATAAAGCTGACACAAAAATTCAAGAACAAATTGGCATTTACCTACTTTTTGACTAATACATAGAGGCATATGATTAATACAAATCCATCCTAACTACTTGTCGGTGACCAGAACGACAGATAAATGTCACAGGACACCAGCTGTGCAGGCTTTGCTGTGCAAGACAAATGTGTTTCTCTGTTGCTACTTGATTGATTTTTTTAATATTGCAATGGAAATTTTTTCAAATTATTATAAAATGTTATTAAGCAACATTAAAACATCATGAGCTAGATCCTGTTCTAAGATGCAGCCATTCTGTTCTGTTAATGAAATCAGGCCTTAAAGGTGACACAAGCAGTTCCCAGTAGATTAGATAAAGTAAGTGTCCATAACCAGGGTATAAATGCCTTTTCTTCATTCTTTGTTCATCAAAGAGAAAAGACGACCTGGCTACAGGATCACTATCTATGTTATTGCAATCTGTGGTCGTTTTCTTTTTAGCTTTTCAAGCTTCTGCAAGCTGAAAGACCATCCATAATAGCACTTCTAAAACAAACTGGTCTTGAACCAAAAATGTTCCAGATAGATGTAAGCCATCCACCTTTCCATGCTGTCAAGAAATGCAAACGCAAAAT